CCTTCTGGAAAGACTTTAGAATTAATCCCTTCATGTTTTAAGTTCACTTTTATCTCAGTCACCATGAGTCCTATTCTCCTAGACCATCCCTTGCCCCTGGACCTAATCTAGGCTCTTGATATCCCCATTATGACCCAAGGTCCCATTCCCTAACAACCCCCCCCCCCCCCGCTTTCTCCATAGTGCACTCTGGATCTCTGATATCAACAAAATCCCCTGCCTCGCCCATGTTTTCTTTGAATGGCACCTTCCCCTTCTTGCTCTAACTGAAACCTGGCAGTTCCACAATGACACAGCTTTCTCTACACTTATAATATTCCAGTGCACACAGCAGATATTCAGAGGATGCTGAATACAAGAATGACTCATAGTACTATTAATAATAATTTAGACCCTGGGCAGAGAGACAAAGTAAGGTGAGAGAATGGTGGATGCTAATTAGATATCCATGTGTAAATGCCTACTTTACAGATAAGAGAGATTATGTCTTACAATAATTAGATAATTAGATACTGGTTTCAGAATTATCACCAACAAAAGGAGAGTCCTGATTGTAGCCTCTATGCAGAAATGAACAATGGAAGAAAAGAGATTGCGTACCAGGCTTCAGGTGACACACACTCAAAAAATGAGAGAAAGTATGAGAATCACTGAAGGAAAGAATATAGAGAAAAAGACTGATATATAGAAAACAAAGTAAGAAGGAAAAAGAGAAGCTTATGGACACCTAGAGAAGAGAGAAAAGTGTTCTGGAGCATTGTTCAGAAGCAAAATCTAATGTACTGAATTTAGTTGAAAAAAATTTCCCCATACTGTCAGTAAATTTGGAGGAACATTTAGATATTTCGAAGAAATATATTAAAGAACGAAAAAAAGAGACAAAATGAGGAAAAACAGCCAGCAGATAAGGATAGGTAAATTCTGTGGTGCCAAGAACACAAAAGGCAAGTTCACTGCTGAAGTTGAACCAAACAGATTGGTGACTAGAATGCACACAAAACTTCCAAGGCCTGACTCCTAATTGTTAAGACAATAAAACCCCATCCTCACATTAGTGATTAAAAAAATCATAAGCAAATGCTATTTACTATTCTTGGGGAAAGTGAATCTCTACTCCTACCAGCTCCATGTTGGAAGTTCTGGGGAGTAGTGTGGGAGCAAATCAACTGTTGATCACAGAGAGCTGGCATTCGGATGGTAATGCCAGATATACAGAAGGATTGAACATACACTTTCCTCAATGCTGAGCAAACTCAGATGCTGAATTAAGATCTTCTAAATTGAGTATAAATCATATAAATAAACTAAATATTTATGGATATAATTTGTTGCACCTGTCATTTATGGTGTCACCACTGTACAAATGGAAACTCAAAGCTTTGCTCAGTGGTATGCTGGAAGACAACTGTATGGTTTTGAGTTTTGGGTTTTTTTCTTTAAAAAATAAACTGATCTGCAGCTGCTGATGTCCACAGTGTAAATACTCCTACCATGACTGACTTCTTTTCTTTTTTTAATGTTTATTTATTTTTGAGAGAGAGAGAGCGTGAACAGGGGAGGGACAGAGAGAAAGACACAGAAGCAGGCTCCAGGCTCTGTGCTGTCAGAACAGAGCCTGACATGGGGCTCAAACCCATGAACTGTGGTGAGATCATGACCTGACCTGAAGTTGGATGCTTAACCGACTGAGCCATCCATGAGCTCCACCATGGCTGATTTCAAGCCAACAATATGATGTCCCTGAATGGGGAACTGAGTAAAGATGAACACAATGGTCTCTGTAAGTCAGTGCAAGCTGGCTCCAGAGAGTCAGATGTAATTAGTTTGGACTGGGGCCTGCACAGATCATTTTCAAAGTCTCTCAGGAGGTTCTCTAGGCAGCCAAGTCTGAAAATCATTACTTATAGTGGTGCTTCTCAAATTTTCATGTGCTTATGAATCACCTGGAGATCTTGTCCAAATGCAGGCTTTGACTCAGTAGGTAACATTGGTCCCTAGCAAGGGAGATAAGTGGACTAAAGAAGAAAAAAACAGTCATTTATAGCTCTACCTTTGTCAGAAATGTTTGAGAGGGAGGCTTTGAGAAATCACAAACTGGAGGTTCATGAATTATTCGTGGCCAAACCCACAGAGAGGTTTTCTTTTACACAGTTCTACTTTTAAATTTGAATTATATGCCAAGATCATAACATTCCATATTCCCAGCTTCTCTGAAAAAAAAAAAAAAAAAAAGGCAGTAACTACAACAACCACCAAAGAAGATCTGACACCCCTGCCTGCAGGGATCCTGCCCGCTTTAGGTGAGGTAGCAGACTTCCTTCTCCACTGTTTCCTCCTAGTGGTCTCTGCTGTTCCATTTATGTTCCCTATTTCACTTCTGAAGGAATTTGAGGGGTATTCATATTTTAGGTGTAGTATAACTGATAATATACCTTTTCTTCCCCATTTGCACTAGCCTACTCTTCTGTCTCATTTCTCACCATTGCTCACATATAAACTATATTCTTGAAATGGCTTACACAGCATTCCTGGAATTCATCACCTTTTCCTTTCCTCCAAACTTTGGATTGACCCCTGTTCCTAGAACACACTCCAACCTTCTTCCTCTGCTAGGAACAATCTGAATCATTCCTCAATATCTAGCTCAAAAGTCCTTGGTAAAGCCTTCCTGACTTCTGTGCTCTTGCAGCAGAATGGATCCTCTTCTATTAAATCCTATATTTGCTTATTCTGGGATATTTCATATTCTCTGAGGCCCCAAAAGTCATTAGATAAGCTTTGTTCATTTTTTGTATTACCAAGGTAAAATGCTTTGCCATAAAGAAGATCCTCAATAGCTTTATGGAATAATAGACTGTGAATTAACTTTGAACTATTAGATTACATTCCCTTGAAAGCTCTTTTGTTAATTTATCAAAGGAGTGTTGCAATTATTATCCTGTCTCATAAAGGGCAGGTTAAATCTGTTTGCATCACTTTCTCCAGAAACTCTGCAAGCTCTCTTCTTTCCCCTGAACTTCAATTTTGGTGTTACTTACTTGATTTATAAGAATATTTATTCTACAAATCTTGTCTCAGATAAACATAAGCCACCTAAAATCAAACAATCCTTAATAGAATTAATACCTTATACTTTCATGGAATAATAAATTGCTTCAAAGCACTTTTACTAACACATTTATCCTCACACTAACCTGTAAAATACATACCCAATGTATTACTCTTTTTCAGCATTTAGAAGCTAAAGTGAAATGTCCTTCACGAACGGGGAAGCAAGGAAAACAGAAAGTTTAAGAAAAATCTTTGCAGCGCCCACCTAAGTCCTCTGAAAGGAAGATCCACCCTATAATCTTTCCCAGGCTTGATTTCCTAGGATGGCTAGGGGCTAAACATCTGCTTTATTCCACTTCCAAGCTCCCAGAATTCCTAATATTTTATTGAGAAACTGAGGCTCAGATGTGTTGAATCAACATGTATCAGAGCCAAAGTAGTAATCCAGGTCTTTGAATTCCCAGTATAACATCCCACTTTTCTTAACTATGTTTACCTTTACAAACAGAGCTATAATCATCCAGCAATACATATATGCTTCATAAATCTGCCTTCACAAACATGCAGAAATGAAAACTCCTGTACCATTGCCTCAAAAAATAAGTTATATATGATGACCAAAAGTTTACCCATTAATGTGGCGGAGTTAGTTGCACCAAGCAACTTTAAAATGCCCAAGGACAATGATTTCATCAGAGCGCATAAGAAAGGCTATAACCCATAAGTCAGTTTGCAAATTCCTGCACTGTGTCACCCTCAAGTGGATGCTATGTTCTCTAATGTTTAGTTTTTGGGAAAATTTACATTACAGATGAGGTGGGAATCAAAGATTTTAGCCTCTTGACCCACTAATGATAAAATCCAATGCAAATTAATGGGGGAAAAAAGCTATGCCAGGGAAAGAAAATCTCAAATTGTTAATGTAGGATGAAATGAACACCCGCAGTGAGATTTAAAAGAAGTAGCAAAGGAGTGGAAATGACAGGGTTTAAAGGCATAATGATCCATTTCTCTCACATTCTCTCTGTATTTCCAACCCCTTTCTAAGAATTTTGATGAGGCCTCAAGGATGCACCCATCCATGACAATGGGGTACAACACAACCTGTGCTTCCTCCCCAAGGCACACCAAGAACACTGGTGACAATAGAAGACAATATGGCTTACGGATTACAAGGATGCTCTAAAGCTGTGTCTCTGGAAAGACTGAATCATTTAGGGAAGTGAAGTGTCTATTTTTTTCTCAACCTCAACATACTGCTCCCAGTTCAATGACTCTGAATGGCTTTTCTGCCATTTCCACTCCCCTTTTAAGGAAGCAGGACAAATCGGTGTCTCCTTCATTATCAGTCAGCAGGGGGTATGTTATGTTTTCTGTGTTCTTTCTCCCTGCTTGACTGTTAATACAATCTTTAAAAAGAAGGACTATTCCAAGATATATATATATATCTATATATATATATAGATATAGATATATATATATATAGATATATATAGTTTAAATCCTCATATAAGAGTTAGATCTACAAATACCTGTTTGGAAGCCACAGAGGCAACTGTGGAGTGAGCCTAGAGGTATGCAGGAAGAGCGGATATCGAGACTTTTATTATGTGAAATATTTTTATCTTACTTTTATTGGAAATAGGGAAAATCCTGGTAATTATGGAAAAAGGAGTTGAAATAACAGGAGAGAGGTGCAACTCCCCACCTCACTGCCTTGTACGTTTCCTAGGCATTTTCCTAACTATGTCTTTAAGCGACAAGGAAAAGAAACGTTGGGCTGAATTAAAAGTGGCAAAAAACTTCTCTCCAAGTGAGCACAAGTGAGGAAGTTCTAAGAAGGAGCACTGGATTCATTTGGTAGAGACAGAAATGTAAGGAATAGAGGGGGCGGGAAGAGTCCCTTGGCAGACTGGGGTTTAGAGAAGAAGGTGCGCTCGCGGACTCACCCCCCAGCCAGGTGTCAGAGATGTTCTGTAGCATGGTGACCGGGATGCAGAAGAAGGCGATGAGCAGGTCGCTGAGCGCCAAGGAGCAGATGAAGATGTTCGTGACGGTGCGCATTGCCTTGCTGCGGGTCACCACATAGACCACCAGCGCGTTGCCAAAGAGCGCTAGGGCAAATATGAGCACGCTGGTGAGCACGAAGGCCAGCTTGGCGCGCCCCGGCAGCTCCGGGGTGTAGACAAGCGGCCGCAGCCCGTAGCGCGCAATGAACTGCTCGCGCGTCAGGTTATGGTCCCGTAGCAGCCTGGAGAACTGCTCTCGGGTGATGTTGAGAGACTGCATGCCGCGCGCTGCCCGAGCGCCGGGCACAGCCAGCTACCCCGGGCGAGCACCGCTGCGCGGCGGGGCGGGGGCTGCGAGGGGACAGGGCTGGCGGCCGCCTCCCACCCTCGCAGGTCCAGACAGCCGTCTGGCGCGCTGACGGGCTCCCGATTGCACCCTAGCAGGTTCGAGAAGGAAAGCAGCGAGAGATCAGAACCACAATGAAGAGGCGGGAAGCCAAAGCATGGGAGGCTATCGCGTTGACCAAAGCTGTTCGCAGTTCAGAGAAAGTTCTCTTGGTCCTTTCAAGGTTTGGAGCCGCGGTGTCGGGAATGCAGGAGCGCCGCTCCAGAGTCCTCGCGCCTCCGGCTCCCCAGCCTTCTGCTGCAGGGATCGCACGGGCTCCAGGAGCCCGCGGAGGGTGGGGCTGGGACTGGGACTGGGCGGCGCGCCACTCACCTCCCTGCTTCAGGCGCTCAGATGCCGCCTCCCACACTCTCAGGGAGAGGGAAACCTCTCTCTGGCTCCCCGCCTTCTGCAGCCCTGAGCCTTTCTTCTGCCCCAGGTCATGCTTCTGTGTAAAACCCGGAATTGGGGTTTGTACCGTCTCACGGTTTCTCCTTTGACTAAATAATGTAGGCCACAGCTACCCGAGGCAAAATGGGATTTTTAATTTTTTCCCTATATTTTCAAAAATAATTACAGCACACAGAAAATTGCAAGGATAATACAGAGAGGTCCCAAGCATCCTTCATCTACTTTCCCCCGTGATTACATCTTAGTTAATCAAGGTACAATACAAAACCAGGAATTTGACATAGCTACAGTGTGTGTGTAAAGTCCGTCTTTATCCCGAGTGTAGATTCCCGTAACCATCACCAAAATCAAGATACAAAACTATGACCAAAACGATCTCCCTCCTGCTACATGTTTGTAGTCATACCAAGTCCCCCTCCCCTCCCCCCCGCAGCCCTGAACCCCTGGCAATTACTAAGCTGTTCTCCATCTCTATGCTTTTGACATAAGATTGTGCAATGAATCACAAATTATACCTTTTGATACTGATTTTTTCCACTCAGCATAGTGCCATTCAGATCCACCCAAGTTGTTAGGTATACCGATACTTATTCGTTTTTTTATTGCTGATAATGGACCAGGGTTTGTTTAACCATTCATGGAGACGAGGACATTTTGGTTGTTTCCAGCTCTATTAAAAATAGAGTTGCTATGAAGAATCATGTACAGGTTTTTATGTGAACGAATATTTTTATTTCTCTGGGAAATGCCAAGAAGTTTGGTGGTTGGGTCTATGGTTTATATAGTTAGGTTTGAAAGAAATTGTCAAATTGCGTTCCAAAGTGTACCATTTTACATTAGCCATAGCGACATATGAGAGATTCAATTTTTCTACATCCTTACCAGCATTTGGCATTGTCATTGTTTTTTATATATGTTCTCATAAGTATGCAGTGATATTTCCTTCATCCCTAATTTGCATTTTCCTGATAGTTAATGATTAGCATCTTCCCGTGGGCTTATTTGCTATCCCAGTATTTTCTTCGGAGAAATAGTTTTTCATGTATTTTGCCCATTGTCTTTCTTTTTCATATTTATTTTTTAAAATGGACATTTGGGCTCTTTCCATACTTTGACTATTGTTAATAGTGCTGCTATAGACATTGGGGTGCATGTGTCCCCTCTATCAGCATTGCTTTATCCTTTGGACAAATTCCTAGTAGTAAAATTGCTGGGTAGTAGGTTAGTTCTATTTTTAATTTTTTGAGGAACCTCCATACTGTTTTCCAGAGTGGCTACACCAGTTTGCATTCCCACCAGCAGTGCTAAAGAGTTCCTTTCTTTGCATCCTCACCAACATCTGTTGCCTGAGTTGTTAATGTTAGCCATTCTGACAAGTATGAGATGACATCCCATTATGGCTTTGATTTGTATTTCCCTGATAATAAGTGATGTTGAGCCCTTTTTCATGTGTCTGTTAGCCATCTGGATGTCTTCTTGGGAAAAGTGTCTATACGGGTCCTTTGCCCATTTCTTCACTGGATTATTTGTTTTTTAGGTGTTGAGTCTGGTAAGTTCTTTATAGATTTTAGATACTATCCCTTTATCTGATAGGTCATTTGCAAACATCTTCTCCCATTCCATTGGTTACCTTTTAGTTTTCCTGTCCTTCACCATGCAAAAGGTTTTTATCTTCATGAGGTCCCAATAGTTCAGTTTTGCTTTTGTTTCCCTTGCCTCTGGAGATATGACAAATAAGAAGTTGCTGCAGCTGAGGTTAAAGAGGCTGCTGCCTATTTTCTCCTCTAGGATTTTGGTGGCTTCCTGTCTTACATTTAGGTCTTTCATCAATTTTGAGTTTATTTTTTGTGTATAGTGTAAGAAAGTGGTCCAGGTTCTTTCTTCTGCATATTGCTGTCCACTTTTTCCCAACACCATTTGCTGAAGAGACTGTTTTTCCCACTAGATATTCTTTCCTTCTTTGTAAAAGATTAGTTGGCCATACATTTGTGGGTCCATTTCTGGGCTGTTTATTCTGTTCCATTGATCTATGTGTCTGTTTTTGTGCCAGTACCACACTGTTGTGATGATTACAGCTTTGTAATACAGTTTAAGTTCTGGTTTTGGTTTTCTTTTTCAACAATACTTTGGCCATTCAGGGTCTTTTCTGGTTTTGTACAAATATTACGATTGTTTATTCTAGCTCTGTCAAGAATGCTGGTGTTATTTTGATAGGGATTGCATTGAATATGTAGATTGCTTTGAGTAATACTGACATTTTAACAATATTAGTTCTTCTAATCCATGAACATGGAATGTTTTTCCATTTTTTTGTGTGTGTCTTCTTCAATTTCTTTCATAAGCTTTCTATGGTATTCAGTGTATAGATTTTTCACCTCTTTCATTAGGTTTATTCCTAGGTATTCTATGGGTTTGGGTGCAATTGTAAATGGGATCAATTCCTTCATTTCTCTTTCTTCTGCTTCATTATTGGTGTATAGAAAGGAAACCTATTTCTGTACTTTGATTTTATATCCTGTGACTTTGCTGAATTCATGTATCAGTTCTGGCAGTTTTTTGGTAGAGTCTTTTGGGTTTTGCACGCAGAGTATCATGTCATCTGAAAGGAGTGAATGTTTGACTTCTTCCTTGATGATTTGGATGCCTTTTATTTCTTTTGTTCTCTGATTGCTGAGGCTAGGACTTCCAGTTCTATCTTGAAGAGCAGTGATGAGAGTAGACATCCTTGTAGTATTCCTGACCTTAGGGGAAAGCTCTCAGTTTTTCCCCATTGAGGATGATATTAGCGGTGGGTCTTTTATATGTGGTCTTTATGACTTGAGGTATGATCCTTCTATCCCTAGTGTTTTGAGATTTTTATCAAGAAAGGATGCTGTATTTTCTCAAATGCCTTTTGTGCATCTATTGAGAGGATCATGTGGTTCTTATCCTTCTTTTATTAATGTGATGTATCACACTGATTGATTTGCTGATATTGAACGAGCCTTGCATCCCAAGAATAAATCCCACTTGATCGTGGTGAATAATTCTTTTAATATACTGTTGGATCCAGTTTTCTAGTATATTGTTGATAATTTTTGCATCCATATTCATCAGAAAAATTGGTCTGTAGTTCTTTTTAGTGGGGTCTTTGGTTTTGGAATCAAGGTAATGCTGGCCTCATAAAATGAGTTTGGAAGTTTTCCTTCCATTTGTATTTTTTAGACAGCTTCAAAAAAATAGGTGTCAACTCTTCTTTAAATGTTTGGTAGAGTTTCCATAGAAAGCCATGCAGCCCTTCTAGTATCCAAAATCTATAAAGAGCTCACCAAACTTCACACCCGAAAACAAATAACCCAGTGAAGAAATGGGCAGAAAACATG